ATGAAAAGGCTGATGAACTCGCCAAAGATGGATCAGATCTACCATTCATAGGACCCGAACCTGTATTTGGAATAACCAAAACCTCTGCTCGACAGGCAGTGAACATGTGGATAACCAGAAAACACCTAATTCACTGGCAACAGATAAGAGGGCACAGAATCAGTAAGCTCATGCTAAGGGGACCAAACCCACGCATGGCTACTGAGGCACTACAACTCGCAAGGCCTCAGATATCCACCATTGTGGGATTACTAACGGGGCACTGCTTGCTGAAACACCTTCATGTGATGGGATTACACAATGCTCCCACTACGTGTAGACTCTGCATGAAAGAGGAAGAAACCTCATACCATGTGATCTTCGAATGCGAAGCTCTTACTAGGCGACATTTTATCCTTTTCGGCCTAGAACCGGAAAGAACGCCCCAGGAACACTTGGTAGGAAATCTATTAAAACTAACCAAAGACACAGGACTATTCCAAAAATAGTACCTGAATACAGAGAAAGCAGGGGAATACAATAGACCCAAGAGGCCGCAGTGTTCTGAGCCTAACCTAACCCTACGTTCTTACAACCGATAAAGATAAAGTGAGTGCGTTATTTATTCTTGCGCTGTTTTATCCTGGCGCTATTTCTTTTGCGCTAATTGGTCCCACGCTATATTATCTTGCGCTGTTTCATAGCGGTGCCATCTAAAATCAGTTCTTGGAGTTTCAGCACCAATAAAATGTTTTTATTTTGTAGGCCTGTGTAATCTGTGCAAGCAAACATTTAAACAATTCCCAGTAATAACTTAATTACCAAAAATAAGTAAGTTATTTTTATTAATATTAATTGTCCTACCAGAGCGTTGCTGGGAATAAATATTAATTTGATCTATTATTAAACTTTGTAAAATAATCTATAGGGGTCTTGAAAAAATTTACATCTACAATATGTACCGTGTATTTAAAAACGTCGTTTTTTCAGTCGCACAGTTTTATTTGTTTGTTTCTTTTCTAATTTACTTCATATTTTCTTATAAGAATATAAGAATTTCTATTTTAAATTAATACGTGCGTGATTATGTACCGCTGTAATGGTTTTAACTACATCTGAAATGCTTATTTTTCGCCTAGTTCATCATTTTAAGTTACATATTATGTATTTTTTAAGTCACATCTTCATTTTCGCCTATCTTTTTTAACTATTCCTCATTTTCCAATAGAAATGTACAACCGCCCTTAGTATTATTGAACTTTGTAGCCCTTTGGACTTGTTTGGATGTAAATACTTTGATTTCGAAATCATAGCAGTTTTTTGATGACAAAGAGAAAAAAAAACAAAAAACAAACTAAAAAGAAGATTTTATTGTGTTTTCTAATTTTACAAAATTATCCTAATCAGTCATACAATGATTAGATATACTTAAAATTCTTTACACATTACATTCTAAATTACGACCTATTTTACTGGAATGTTCTTAGAGCAAAACAGTTATTCAACATAATTATACATTACTGATAGTAATAATAAAATGTCAATCTATCATAGAATCTTTTGTCGTCTGTTTATTTTAAATTTTCTGAGCAAAAGGTAAATAATTTACCCATAATTATAAGTAGCCAACAATTATATAATTGACTATAGGTTAAATTAATTGTCGTTCTATTATAGATACATAATTATAGATGTATAATTATTATTATAAAAATATAAATATATTTAGCACTACAGGAATGTACAGAGTAATGGCCTGTTTTGTAATTTATATAATTATTTATGCAACAAGTGCAAAAAGTAAGTTTTATTGCACACACGTCGAGTGCAATAAACACTTTTTGCACGAGTTGCATACAATATTTTTTCTACGTTCATGCAAAACCAAAAAATGTTTTATTTAGGCGACACTAATTGCAGAAGAATAAAAAGCGTTTTTAATAGCAAAATATTTAATAACTAATAATTAGCATCGATTAATATTGAAAAAGTATACTATAACTATGTTAAGAAAAATAATTTAACCAAAACTTTAGAAACAACTGTGTTATGAACAATAGTTAAGCTTAAACGTTGTTTTTGCAACTAATATTAAAACTAATGTACAATTTGTACAATTTTCAATATTAATATTTTTTAAAACGTAATACAATCTCACAGAAAATGAAAATGGAGTAAATATTTGGCGTCGATTTAAATATTTATGTTTGTCATGATCATAAAACGCTGTAGTAAAATCACAGAGTGCAATAAAATTTGTATTGTACTAGTGCAATAAAGAACCAATTTTTTCACTAAATATAGTTCAATAAAGTTTTGTTTTTTGCATGAACGTAGAAAAAATAAATTAAGTTGCCTATTGGAACTAACGATTTACAGGTTTAAAGGAATATAAGGAAACATAAGGAACTGGCCAAAAATTGCCTAGAAATTGTTAAAGAATTTAATAATTTACTAAATGAATACAGGAAATTGGAAAAAAAGAAATTCAGGTGTACAAAAAAACAACAATTACAAAACCCGGCCATTTTTAAATATTCTGACTATGTATTTTTAGATGCCGTTATTTTTAAATAGAATAAAAATATTAAAATACAATTGGAATGTTACTGGAGTAAAAATATTTGTATTTTTGTCAGTTCAAGTTGGCAGATAAATGTTATTTGGTATATAATTGAAGTATATTTTAACACAGTTAAATACAATTAAATAGCTTGAAAATAATATAAATAAATTACTCTAAATTGAATATTTCATAAATGACATGACCTCTTCTATAAATTCAAACTAATGATTTTACAAATTTTATTGAAAAAAACCAGAAGAAAAACAGAAATATTTTAGTGTAATGTACCTACCTAAAATCCTCATTAAAATTAAAATTCTTTTTCACAACCGGATAACTTAACTCATTTAAAGAGTTCTTAATTAAAATTTAAATATTCGATTTCCAAATAAACACAAAATCAGATAATGTTGTAAGTGCGAATTCTACAGCAGAGATCTTGTCACTTTATGAAAATTTAGGGGTCATCTTCAGTGACCAACACAAACAACTCTTTTGCAAAATGTCGTATACCCTATTTTTATTTTTCATACAATACTATTGCTACTAAGTGAATCTGGTTTATGTAAAATAAATAGCTATACTATTTCTCTATTTATGTAATATTGCTTTAATCTTACCCACAAATAATAGACTTGTTATTTTGCAACTATAAACTGATTTAAGAAGTACCTACTCTTTGTACTATTAATTTGCATTAAACGTTTTTGGGAAAGTATAGAATACATTAAAAGGAAGGTACAACTACATCAGATACTAACAGTACACTAAAGATGCCAAATATTTTATTACATTCTTTATTACCATATTGATAAGTTCCACAATTACTATGTGCAGTTTAGTTGATCTAGAATATTATTCTAAAACTATTTCTTTTAGGGATCAAAAAGTTTCAGTGTACATTTAAAAACTTTTAGACCAGCGTTTCTAATTTCCTATAATGGGAAATGTTCAATGAATAATCAAAACTTTCCAGTTGTTTTTATCTTGGAAATACGTTTAGGGGGTAAAATATAAGGTAATTTAATTTCTATACAGCACACATTATTTCATAAAGGTTTCATAAATATTTCAAACTTTTCAGTTTCAAACATATGTATAACATTTTGAGAACAAGTTTGTAAAATATTTCACTGAAAATATTTTATAAATAATATTACACAAAAAATTACAAAATGGGTTAAGTTGTAAAAGAGGAAAGACTTGTAAAAAGAGGAAAAAGATGGGTTATGTAGTCATTTTATTAGGCATTCCAAACAAAATGAATACCAGTGGGTTTTGACAGATTATGATATGGTAACATTATGGCAACAATAGGTTCTTTCGTTCGCTATTGGTGTAGTGTCCACCAGTGTAAATTACACCAGTTACACCACCTTATTTACCCTAATTTACTTCCTCCTTATTCCTTATACACATCGTCGAGTGTAATTCACTCCTGCTAAATAGCTGGTGGAGAAAATATCCACCAATGTACACCACATCGCCGACAGGAAGGTATAGTGGGTTTTACACCAGACCAAACGAAAGGTATGGGTGTGGGTCGGTGTAGTTCATTACTACACCTAACTACACCAGTGGGACGAACGAAAGAACCTAATGTAGGCCAGGTGATTTGACAGGGTCAGTGATATAGATAGTTATATAGATTGATCATCCATGTTTTTTAAAATAAACATAAGCTTATTCTTGAAGTAAAAATGTTGATAATTATTTTTTTTACTACATTCAAATGATTAAAATTGGTTTTGAAACACATTTTAGCTAAACCGATTCAAACTAATGAACATTTGCCAGGGCGGCTATCCTCGACAATCGCTAAAAAACGAACCGTTTTCGAAAGTGAGTGGTTGAAAAGCGAGTAGTTTTTGAAATCTATATTCTTGACTGGCGTTCGATAAGCATTCGTCTTTTAAAACGTGTACGTTTTTAACAAGCAAATAATATGTCTGGCATCACTGTAAACTGTCTATATCGCTGAATTCAAGTAATGTGCAGGCCATAAAAAAATAAGGATTATGTAATTTAATTACAACAAACCAATTGTAAATTTATCGAATGATGATTTTTTCTAATCACATAATATATCAATGTTCATGATAAACTAAATCGTTAATCATTGGCGGAAAACAGCTATACAGGTGCTGTTAATGTAACCTATAATTTTAGGAAAATCGTACGTCATAAAACCTAGTTTCTATGGTACAAAATTAACTTAAAAACTTTGCTAATCTCATTCAGTTCTTTAATATCTTGTGGCAATTTTACAAAATTGTTAAAAGTTCTGGACACAACGTGTGATATAGAAGAGCTTTGAACTACCACTTGCAAGAAACCGCAAGCAAATTAATATCTATAAATAAAACATACATGAATTAATAATTAAATTCTTACAAGGTAAAATATAAAAAATATTCATTCAATATCCATTAAATTAAAAAAATGGATTCTGCCTCTGCATGTCTGAATCTTTATGTTATGTTGAGAATGGGGTGTTAATACACTGCGACCTAAAAGATCTATTGTGCCCCCTTCTGTCGCCAATGCTCTAAGGAAATGTCTCAATGCCTATAACGACCCTTCCAATCCTATTTTCTCAAGGAAGTGTAGGATTTGAAGTGGCTTCAACATAAGTAAATCTCTGCTTTTCTCATTCTTATCTTCCAAGTTTTCTAATTGTACTAATTATTGCATTAATTGAAATAAATTCTCAGCTATTAGACTTTTTTAGTACTGCAAACCATATTTATAAGAAATTTTATACTTTTGTAGGTATTAATAAAAAGTAAAATTTGTTAAAATAAATCAATATTATTAATCATCCTAAAAGTGACATATAAGTGACATTGACTAAATCCTTGAAAACATGCACGTTTTATCACAAACGTGTGAAAAATTCCGCTCGCTGTAAAACACCCGTTTTAAAAACGTACACGCTTTTAAAACGAATGTCGAGAATAGCGAATAGCTCGCATGTTACTAAAGCGTATACGTTTTTTAGAAAACGATTGCCGAGGATAGGGCCCCAGGCATTATGGCCGCTCGCAAACAACCCGCTTTGAGCAATCTATATAACTATATATGTATCATTGACCCTGTCACAGAGTTGCCATATCTAAACTGTCAGTTCCCAGTTGTCAGCATTTTGACAAGTGGTTGGATTGCTTAATTCTAAATAATATAATTTTGTTTCATCCTATATCCAGAGACAATCCTATATTCTAAATAATTGGAAGTTTGCGTTAGTTGTCGATTTTTACCATTTGCTGTTTTTGTTGTTTGTGTGTTACGCTATTGTATGGGAAGCAGAATAATAATATGCCTCTAGAAATTGAAGTAAGTTTTCTACAGAAATAAGGCTTGTTAGTTAGGTTACGTGTTAATTTACTTTATCTCATTCATTGTGATGAGTGATGCCATTTCGATTATTAAATTTGCAGGCAGTTTTAGTGTTTTTTTATCTAAATATAACCTACATTTGCTGTATTCTTTATTTTATTATAGTTAGTTTAAAGCAATATTAATAAAACTATTGTTGATAAAATATTTTGTTTCAAATACTTTTTTTAAAAAGATACCCATAATTTGTTTAAGGTTACTGCTTTTAATGGAATTGGTAAACATGAAGTGATTTGCCTTTATATTTTATAAAATAAGGTTTAAAAATTATCTATTTATTTATTTGTTTGTTTTAGAATCAATGTTTCTGTTTTGTGTATTTTAAAAAATATGTAGGACATGGTTAACAGTGGATCACTGGTACACAGTGGATCATCCCTACCACAAAGCCATCTGTTGGTTGATTTTTATGGTATGTCATTCGTACATAACCTTCAAAACTTTCTTTATATTTAGTTAGTGTGTGGTAGTCGCGACAAATTGTGTTAGAAGAGAAAAGATGAGTTTGTAAAAGTCGCAAAAAAAATCGTGAGTAATATTTTGTGAAACATGTTCTTCATATTGCATTTTACCTATGTGTCTGAACTCAGTCACTTAACGTAGATATTTATAATAATGGTAAAAATGATTTTACAGTGATTTCTTGTTAGTAATGGCTGACTTTCAAAAATAACTAAATCGAATGTTACACAGTGAATCAAACGCTAGTAATACACAACGGATCACGATCACGATACCAAAGAGGAAATGAAATTAACTCTAAATTCTATAAATAACGGAAACCTTTTACTACCCTACAAAGATATTGGACAAAGACAAAACAGCTGACTTTCAAGGGGACTTAAAATTAACACCAAACTATGAAGTAAATAGAGTTTGTTACGAAGCGCAAGAAAATATGCTTCGGGACTATTACAAAAAAAATGTGCATTATTATTTTATGGCCTTACTACCAAAGATCTTCGTCAAATAGCCTTTGAAATGGCAAAATATAATAATATTAAAATGCCTTCGTCGTGGAAAACTAATCAAATCACCGATATTGACCGGCTTAGGGATTTTCTGCGACACATTCCTGTGCTCTAACTCAGAAAGCCAGAAGCCTGCAGCCTTGTCAATAAAGAGGTAGAAAAAACTTTTTATGACAATCCTGAAAACGTAATAAACGAAATCCAGTATCTGCCGATGGCTGCAGAATATTTAACCTCGACGAGACAGGTAAAACCACCGTGCAGAAACTCCATAAAGTAATGGCCCCAAAGGGCCATAAAAATCTTTGCAAGGCAACTAGCGGTGAAAAAGGAGATTTATGCACAACATGCTGCATTATTAGCGCAAGGGGACAAGATCTTCCTCCAGCAATTCTTTTCCCACGCAAGAAGATAAATCCTAGAAAGAGCATTGGAACTCCACCTGGAACTTCGGGTTGGATAAATTTGTTTGTAGATGTGATGAAACACTACATAAAAAACAGTAACAGTTCACTGTATCCTAATAATGGACAACCTGAGTCACATTTATCAATTAAAACATTAGATTTAGCAAAGGAATCGGGTGTGATTATGCTTACATTACATCCGTAAATGTAGCCTGTCGATATTTGGGCCGTTTAAAAATTATTATTATCCTGCCATAGATTCGTGCTTGATGCGTAATCCAGGACAAGAGATTACCATTTATGATGTTGGACAATTAATCGGAATCCATTTGAAAAATCCATGACACCATCCAATTTACGACAAAGATTTAACAAGACCGGACTAGTACCCTTCGATAGACACAAGTTTACAAACGATAATTTTTTGCCCAGTACAGTTACAGACAGACCAAACCCAGATTCACAATCTACTGAACTCTCCGTAAAACAAAATCAACCTACTAAAATACTCCTGGAACGGCCTAACGAAATTAATGTAGTTCCTTTGACATCAACAGATCTGTCAGGAAATTGCGAAATATTATTTCCTGACCACTCAACAATCAATCTAAGCGAAACCAAGAACTGGAAAAAGAAAACCAAGAGAGTTAGGTAGAAGTTTGATAGCTATGGATACACCGAAAACCGAAAATGATGCAATTGCCATGGAAAAGGAGTCTGCTAAAAGAAGAAAAGAAATAAAACAAAACAAGGCTAGTGTTCGTAAAGTTTTGCAAAGCGACTCAGAAGAATAATGCGAAGAAGTTGTGTTCCAAGATGAATCTGGCAATGATGACATGAACTGGTTTGAAGAAGAGAACAACCCAGATATATTAACCGAAGACTGCTTGCAAAAACCACTTAGTCGACCACCATCTGTAGGAGATTATATCATTGTCGAATTTAGTACAAAAAAATAACAAAAATTTACTACGAGTATTAGAGCAGAAATGCTAAGATGAAAGTATTCGTTAGGTTCTTAAGACAAGAAACAGACGAACTATTTCACAATCCCAACGTACCTGACAATTCGTATGGTAATTTACATTTATTTTATTTAGTTTTATAGTTTGTGTATACGGACATTTTCTTTTGTTTGAACCGTTTGAATAAATACTATTATGCACAATTGTGTGAGAATATATTAAAATGTTATTTATGTTTTCATTTTGTAATTTAACATAATCTATACCTTTGATCCACAAGTGAGAACCATCCGGGGTACATAGTGAATTAATTACATTTTTTTAAAAATAAACTTTGTCTTTTTAAAAACCCTCTACGATGATAAAATCATTATAATTTGGGAACCAGATACATTAGTCGACCTCTGCTAGAATTCACAGAAATTCCGGCTGTAAATGTGGAAAGTAAGAGCTCATAAAAAAATACTGATCTACTGTTAACCATATTACCTTATATTTTTAAAAGTCTTTTTTTAGTTGAATAAAAATATTAAACTGTAATATTGCATTCGAAAGCTATTTTGATATTCCATAAATATTTTAGAAATGTTTCTACGACGTTTCATAATATTTATGGAACAAAACTAGAATACATTTCTGAAATATTACTATGTTATATTTCTGAAAGGTTTTAAATTGTTTCATTTCTGGAATATTTCAGAAATATTTTTGGGACCTTCCCAAATATTTATACAACATTGCAAATATTTCAATTTGAAATATTTCCGAAATGTTTTTGTGCTATATGGAAAATTTGTCAAAACTGGTAATAAATAAAGAAAATACTAATAGTAATATTTACAGTGAGTGATGGTAATAAAGAATGTATATTTTAAACGCCTTAATCTATTTCTTATAAAAAACTAAATGTTCGATTCGTCAAAAAGTCGTAACCTTTCCTAATCTCAGTCCTAGCAGTTTTCTCTGTTTTCGGGCACTGAGCTTCGACAACAGGTTTCTCGTTCCCTCGATTATTTCTTTTTCATCATCGTCTTCGTCTGCGTCCTGGTCTTGACAAGATACGAAACCGCTTTCTGGACGTGATATGGATAGAGGTTCTAGTAGTTCGAACCAACGTTCTACTTTTGCAGTGGGAGTTAGCTAAATTTAACATAAATTTGAATAACTATAAAGTGATTGATTCAAAAATTAATATACACTTGCTGAAATTTTAAATTCATTTTTGCTTTTTAGAACAAGCGCCTCAAAACGAGTTCCACGAGAGGTGGTAACATCAGAAGTTTCTTTATATTAGGAAATAATTAAATTTAAATTAGTGCAAATAATAAGATTGCTGATATCGATAAATAGGGAATAACACCTCTAAAATATTAAAATAATACAGAAAAGTAAAGGAACTTTAGTAATAATCGTAAAGTTTTGGAATTGGATGATTAATTATTTTGTTTTTTAATGAAAACTAACGCCTTATCAAAACTCATGAAACCTTATTTTGTTCAGGTTTTCACGCACTTAAAGGGGATGAGCTTTGAAAATATTTATATTCAAAACTTTGGTGACTTATTCTTGGCGTTTAACAATCAAAGCCCGTTGCTTTTATCATCAATTAGTTTATCAAGGGCAGTTTCGGTATCTACATCTGATGCTACTTGAGTTCTTTTAAAGCTGTATTGAATAATTGTGTAGCAAACCATATTAAGTTGACAAAAGTACCGTCTAGAAGCGGCATTTATGAGTACAGTTTTTTAGCCTTCAAATGATGTAAGTGTGTTTTGCGTCTTCTTATAATTTAACACTACTACAAAAAACTTTTTAAATTGAGCTGACGTTTTTCATTCTATATTGTCAACCTAATATAAAAATTTGTCAAAATACATCACTTTATTGCCGATTTATAACAAACAATAATTGGTGTTCATAATATACTAACCACCACCTTCAATTTTTTTCAAATTTATTTATTTTAGAGTATTTATTCTTAAACTAATTTATTTCCGATGGTACAAAAATATTATAATCTGATACTTCAATTAAATTAAAGTGATTATTTAACATTTAACACAATCCAAAGACAATTGTCTTATTTCCAACACACGCCAATCAAAACAAACTATATCTAAAAAAAACTGCATAATGCAATGTTTTCACTCAATCCCAATTAAATTTCTAATTAATTCAATTTATTACCAGAGTAACGTATCAACGTCAATGTAAAGTTTGTCAAAAAGGCGACAAAGAAATGGTCAAAAATCGTTTTAGGTGTTCAAATATACATAAAGACATCAATTTCATTATCTTACGAAAACAAAGCGTGTGACAAAGTCTCACATTATTTATATATTATACTGGGTACTGTATTGAAGGATACCTACTTAATATTAACCCATTATATCCCACTGGACCCATTTGGGGACAGCAAACAAAATTTTACATTAGCGCCTTCTATTGACAAATATCAACAGTTGAGTATTAAAGAGTGTTAGCTTACGTTGTTTTTTTCTCAACGTATAGCGCTGATGTCCATCAATTCGAGCAACGCAACGACATATACAATTTTGTCAGCAAGGTCACGCCTTTGCCTGGAAGAAACGTACATGTTTTTGCTAAAGGACCCGTAAAATTAAAATTTTATTTGTTAGCAGTGTTTATTATACCCAAACGTGTAGTTCTAAGTGTAAGATATTGTGTTTACAATAAATTTTGTAGAGTTTGCTAAAATTGCAGATTACATAAGTCAGGTAACTTAGATGTCCTCGTTTGAGGACACTGGGCGGAAGCCGTCTATATAAAATACATATGGTTATTTTTACAATACGAAAAGTTTTTATGGAAGGAAGTATCGTCATTTAGATCCTGCTTTACAAGATGTTGCTACAGCGACTATTGAACATGAAGTAGACATTGTTATTATACTGCCTGATGCTGACCCACAGACCGATGAAGAGGACTTGGACGAAAATAATTTAGAGGGTGTCGAAAATATATTTCCTACTAAATTTTCTGCTAAAAATGCTGAGGGATCAAGGTTATCGTGCCACTGGTACGATAAGAGAAAACCGAACCAAAAAGTGTCCGATGAGAAAAGTACAATTATTTAAAAAGAAAGGGAGAGGTTGTTTTGAACACTATTATGATAGTGATTCAGCGCTTCTTTTTATCAGGTGGCAAGACAATATTACTGTCTCAATTGTTACCAACTAGGACAAAGTGCAACCTATTAGTACAGTCAAGCGCTGGTCATTAGTAGCCAAAGAGAAAGTAGATGTGCAACAGCCACACATTTTCAGTGCTTATAATAAATCCATGGGTGGGGTTGATTTACACGACCAGGCAGTAAGAAACTGCAGGATTTCTGTTAGAGGTAAAAAGTGGTGGTGGGTACTGTTTACAAACATGATCAACATGTCTGTTGTCAACGCAATTAGCAAATAATAATTCAATATCATTGTTAGAGTTTGAAAGAATTATAGTGCGCCATTATTTAGCATACAATGAGAAATCGATAAAACCGAAAAACCGACCTGCTGCGCAATTACCACCAACTGTACGATGTCATGAGGGTGGACATTTCCCAAAAATAACAGCGACGTTGTACTCAGTGTCACAAAAAAGCTAGGTGGAGTTGCTCAAAATGTGTAGTGGCCCTTTGTATTGAACGGGAGTGTTTTAGAGTTTATCATTCCTAAGATGTTTATTGACCAAAATCTCTTTTATTTGTTTTGCTGTAGGTGCTGATTGATTTTTGTTTAGTTTTAACAATTTTTGTATTTTTCTTTGTACTTAAAAATAATGAGTAAAATGTAATGTATGACTTTTATTTTTTTAATACTTTATCCCATTGTCCCCAATTTCAACAATACAAAAATAATTCGAAAAAATTATTTAAAATTATTGTTTTAGATAAATAACAAATTTTTTATCAAAATAATCAAACGTATAGTATTTATTTTTTATTAAAAATCCCCTTTACCGGGTATTTTACTTAATACAATCTGACTATTAGAAACGATTAATGGGTAATTTAATTCTAATCTACGGTTTAATATTATCTTAAAGTTTTATTTTTGTATTCATTATTAGCTGGATTGAATATTAAAACATCGCTGTCGAAACTTAATGTAGCCAGAAGTTGAACAATCAAAAACTTTTGCATAATTAAAATTCATTAAAAGTGATTATAATATTGATTTAATAATATGCTCTGACTTTTTCATTTATTTAATAACTTTTAGATAAATAAGCAAAAATTATCTTTCTTTTTAAACATTTTATAATTATTCTTACAAGAAAGGGTTCTGAAATTAATAAATGTTTTTAAAATATTAATAATTATGACAATAAAAATATGTCCATAGTTGCAATTGTTTTATTTCTTATTATTGTAGGTGGTGATATCCATCAGATGTCCATAAATTGTCCAAAAGCAATACAAAAAGAGTCCATATATGGACCTTTCATGGAGCCCAAATGGGTATATTTCGGTAAAATGCTGGACGTCCTTTGTATAGCCGATATGTCAATCAATGAACTTCCGATGAACATCCAATGAATTGACGTGTGCTGTCTGGGTTGAAAATAAAATAAAACATAGTAACAACTTTTTCTACACCCACATGGATATTAGCTTATCTACGCACAGACTACAAACAAAAAAGTATGCTGTTGCATTCAACTAAAAGAATATATTTCATATCCATTCTAAGTGGTGAGAACACTGCAAAAAAATGAAATCCGCCATTCACAGTTCATATTTTATTTTTAAAATTTTAAATAAGTGACTTTTGTGTAAAACTAATTGTGGCTAGTAATCTCCCTAGAGCTTGAATTAATACCGGAAATTTTTTTCGAGTACACGATTTTCTTAAAAAATCGTGTACGAGGAAAAAATCCGGCTATTAATTCAAGATCGTGGGGGATTCGGTAAGAAAATATCACACCTAAAAAATTTAAAAGTAATTAATTTTTATTTGACATTAAGATTATTTAGGGACATGAAGAAGGGAAGACTAATTTTGGTCTAGTTAGTCATGAGTGTTTTTTGGTATGTCAAAAATTATTCCACGTCAAAATTTGCTGTCAGTTTATGAGGTCCAGTGTAGTATCTATAACGAGTGAGTAAAAATGTCGCGTGTTGGAAACGAAAATCAAGAGAATATAAGAAAAGAAGTCGAAAAGTTAGTGCCACAAAATACAAAGAGGAGTAAAGAAAGTGTGTGGAGTCAAATATTAGAAGACTATGCATTTAACATGAAGAAAAAAAGCTCATGTGATTATAAGGAGGGTGTTGTAAAAGTAATGTGGAATAGCACAGCAAAACAGTTAAAAGAGATGTTTTTTAATAATTATAATATTAAATTTGACCCATTTACCAATCACGAATTTGCATCTGCCAGAGCAGCGCGTGATGCAATGCGAAGAAAATTTCAGAGGAATCCTGAAAAAAGAAAATCAAGTTCGCTGGCATTATCTAACGACGAATTTAACAAAATTATAGAAACTTGCGATGAAGATTGTCCAGATGGTCTTCAACGAAAATTTTTTTATGTCGCCTCCCTTAAGCTAGCCTGGAGGGGAAGGGAAGGGTCATCAGCTTGTATCCAGTATTTTATAGAGGAAATTAATAATAAGGGCAATTTAAGTGGAAGGATAGAATATAATACAGTTTTTTCTAAAACAGCTCAAGGGTGTTCTAAAAAATTATCTGATAGTAAGTGGCTAGTTACAAACAATAATAACTCAGAAATTTGCCCCGTTCGTTTATTCAAAAAGTTATTAGAAAAAAATGGTAACAACATAAAAACTGAAAGATTATTTTTAACCCCTAATCCTACTTGGAATCAACCTGACTCTAAGGGATGGTACAAGAATTGTCCAGTAGGAAAGAATACGATATCCACTTGGTTTAAGTCGGCAGCATCTAATATTGGTATCGACATAAAAAGAAAAAAAGTGACAAATCATTCGGCCAGAGCGACAGCTGTTTCTAACTTAGCTAAAAAAGGAGTTAGTGAACAGCAACTTATTAAAATAACTGGACATAGCAGCAGCCAATCAATTAAGCCATATCTCCAGTTAAATTCTGAACATCATCAAAATATAATTGAGTCCATGAGAAGTAACTTCCCTAACACCTCTTCGAC